CGGGACTCACCTCCTCCTGGTCCAGCATCTGCTGCTTGAGCTTCTCCATGATCTGGCTCTGCTGGTTGATCTCGTCGTCCTGCGAGAGGGCGGAGGGGGGCGTTGGTGCCACCAGGGTCCCCAAGGGGGTGGGGGCAGTGCGAGGTGGTGCTGCTGGGCCCTGCGGTGCTGGGGGACCCCGGGAGCCCCTGGGCTGCCACTTGTCTTGGGGGTCCTGGGGTGTATTGGGATCCCTGGGGGTCCTGGGGGGCTCCCTGGGTGTCCCAGTGGGTCCTGGTTGGGTCTGTGAAGTTCCTGGATGGCTCCTTGGGGATCCCTGTGAGTCCTGGTTGGTCCTAGAGGTTCCTGGATGGGTTCCTGGGGATCCCTGTGGGCCCTGGTTGATCTCTGAGGGTCCTGGATGGGTCCCTGGGTGTCGCAGTTGGTCCCTGAGGTTCCTGGATGGCTCCTTGGGGATCCCTGGGGGTCCTGGTTGATCCCTGGGGGTCCTGGATGGGTTTCTGGGTGTCCCAGTGGGCCCTGGTTGGGTCCCTGGGGGTCCTGGATGGTTCTCTGGGGATCCCTGGGGATCCTGGTTGGTCCCTGAGGTTCCTGCATGGCTCCCTGGGGATTCCTGTGGGTCCTGGTTGGTCCCTGAGGTTCCTGGATGGCTCCCTGGAGGGTCCTGGATAGGTGCCTGGGAGTCCCAGTTGGTCCCTGGGGGTCCTGCATGGATCCCTGGGTGTCCCTGTGGGTCCTGGTTGGTCCCGGGGATCCCAGGGGTCCTAGTTGCATTCCTGGAGGTCCCAGGGGGTCTCGGATGGGTCCCTGGGGTTCCTGGTTGGGTCCCTAGGGGTCCCGGTTGGGGTCCTGGCCGGGCACCTTGTCATCGAGCTGCTTGTAGAGCTTGCGGATCTCCTCCTCGTACTTGCGGCGCTCCTCGTCCGAGATGTGGATGACGATGGAGGAGCTGTTGTCGTTGAGGGGGGTCTCCCCCGCGGGCTCCGGCCCCGAGCCCGGCCCCTCTCCGGAGCCGGCGTCGGCCTCGGCCTCGGCCCCGCTCAGCTGCTCCGTCTCGGGCACGTCCTCCCCTGCGGACGCGGCCTCCGTCTCCCCACGGCGCAGGACGCGGCGGACGGAGGCGGATGGGGGTCCCGGCCCTCCCGCCC